AATGGAGGGAACATTTTGAAGAGCTCTTAAACCCAGCCTAGGCGGACTTTGATATACACACTCGGACCCTATTTGCGCACAGAATAGTCTCACGATGAATGAAGTACTACGAGCTATGGCTTGCCCGAAGAAATGGAACGTCTTCTGACGTGGACGAAATCAGGATAGAGACCCTGAAAGCAATGGGCATCGATGGGTGTACGTGGTTGCATAAGGTATCGAGCCGCATTGGAATCGGGGACGGTACCTTTGGATTGACCGGTGAGGTGGTTCCTCTTTTTAAAAAGGGGGACTCCAAGGAGTGTACCGATTACCGTGGAATCACTATCGGTAAGGTAATCGTATATAGTAAGGAACATGCCAAGGTGTTGGAAAAGAAATCGCGTGCAATCGCTGCCGAAGAGCAGTGCGGATTTCGCGAAGGGCGCTGCACTACGGATCGACTCTTCACACCTGATTCTCGAGAGACATTGGGAGGTGTCGCGGAATAACATCGAAAAGAATAGCATCGACACGGAACTGCTTCGACACCGGCGAAAGACGGAATGACTTCGACAGGATCAACATCGACACAGAAGTATCTCGACACGAGAAAATCCTGTCGAGATAATTCCTTGTCGGCGCTGTTACTTTCGATGTTGTTCCGTGTCGATATAAATCCGAAAGTGTTCTGTCGAAGCAGGTCTGTTTCGGTCTATTTCTGTCGACGTATTTCCGTGTCGATGCCATACTACATCATATACTTTTAAGAAATGTGCGGAGTTGAATTCGTTTTTTCTGAAACTTCGGCGTGAAATTAAATCATATGGCATGATTTGATTGATCAAAAATGAATGCGTCTTTAATCTGACGTGAACGTAACAGGGTAGCACTTTTTCGCCTTTGCCAATCCTTGGAGTGTCATTTCCAGGTGACTTTTTTCCTAAACCCGTACAAAACCCGAACGCCTTGATAATTGTCCCCCTTCACCCCAATGCCGCAATCCCGGTTTCATTTTTTAAAAATAGTTATTAATACATTCATAAAATTATCTCAAGTTGAAAGTGTTGCGATATTATGGAACCTTTTTGTCCCAGATTAAAAAATTATTCGACAGGGCATTTTCATGTACCTTGCAAGTACAGTATGAGTATTTTTTCTGCAGGCATCATC